CGACGACCAAGTGAAATATGCACAAGGCTTTTAAGAAAAGTCTTCTATGGATTATGGATTGTGTACAATGTGTATATGTAAGACTTTTAATGTTTTTGGACCAATGCTACCAGACAAGACATACTTATTTGCATACCTGAGCCCTATTAACCATAAACTTTATAAATGAGGAGTACTAATCTGAAAAACTTGTGATTGTGCTATAGTATTAATAAAAAGTGTACCCCTGCTTAAGATCTTCAAGGGTTGAAACATGTTGGATCACTGAAAACATATTATGCTGTAATCAGATGGATTTATTACATAGTGTAAAGATCAGTATACGATATACACGTTCCACCAACCACGCAACAATGGGAGCTGTGTTCTCTGTGACTAGCCCCTAGGTTACACAACTACTTTAACAATAGAAGAGGTATTTTCTATGTGGTCTGTGCCACAGCTATATTATGAAGCTCCAAGTGGAGGTGGGGTCAAATACCTGCACTGTAGCCCTGCGAGTCATAAGAAACAAAATGGGAAGTCTTAAATTTGAGACAGTAAAATGTGGTAGCAAGTCCCATGGGACTCGGACCTGAGAATGACTTATCTGGCAAGGACCATTAGCAATTGTAAACAACAGACCTGACCTGAGAATGACTTATCAGGCAAGGACCATTAGCAATTGTAAACAACAGACCTGTCCTATCATCAGAGAGACAGGGACAGCCCCCCCCCCCCCCATCAACAAACCTGCAACTATCTGACAGTAATAAAAATCTAGTCATAAGCCCCAGATGGGTGTTTTATTCCAAGATAGACTGACCGACTGACCATCGGTCATAACATAAAGACTCAAGACTGGTAGTTCAGTTAAGAGAATCAGACAGGCAGTTGAGTTGAGAATTCGGACTAGGGGATCCTAGTTGTGCAGCAAATTTCAGGGAGAGATTTAGGATTGACAATTGGGTCAAAGACTACATAGTGATGTGAAGTGATCGTTCCTCTGTTAAAATCCCCTGACAGGAAATGGACAGTGAAGACAATGTAAAGGCATAACCATTGTTGAAATCTGTTACCTAGTAATGACTAGTTAAAAGGGATATAGAAAACCTTATTTTTGTGTTATAACTATAGTAATGTTTAAAGTACAATATTACTTGTACCTATGACTTTTGAGTAATTCCAATTTTCAGTCATACTGATTCATACTGAATCCCAGTTAATGTTTGGTCCTAAATGGACGTTTTCATGTATTATGCAAACTGTAATCACAGATTTTTTTAAAATTTGATATGGAAGTGTTTCACTAAAGTTGGTTAGCCATTACAAAGTGCACATAAACGATTTCTTAGAATCATGACTTTATATGACAAAGTTACACAATGCAGACATTTCATATGACAAATTAGACATTTTAAAATTATTTCAATAATGTTCATTGGGGCACTAACTTCATCGACAAGCAGCAGTCACTCAGTCGGTATAGTTTGCTTGCGGACTTGAAACACGGAGTTAGTTAATGTTCATTGGCCCTCTGGTGCACTATCATAAGAGAGCATATGTACAGTCCAGCTGTCCAAGCACTAAATTTTTCCAAAACTAATGTAGTTACCCAAGTTAAAATCTAGCTGCCAGCCCCAAAGAACCAGGGTATTTAAAACCCCCAATTCACAGGCATATGAAAGTTAATACTGTATTGATCTGACTCTTAAGATGTTCTTCTAATGCATAACTGTTCATCATGAATGGCCACCTTCTATATATACTAGCAGTCATTACAACAAGTGCAAAAAATACATGTCACAGTGGGTCAGGTCACAGATTTTCAAATATCATTAAGACAAAGTTTGAAATTAAGATTCTATTACACTAATCACAAGTGCTGACAGCTCTCACTACATCTCTGCTGAAATGAAATGTCATTATGTTCATGTCACAGCTCAGGTGAATAGTCGATGGTTTCCCACTGTGGCAGCTTGGGTCTGATCCCAGGTAAGTTCATGTGGGATCTGTGGTGGACAAAGTGAAACTGAGGCAAGTCTTCTCTGATCACTTCTGTTTCTCCTCACTCCGGTAAATGCTCTACATTAATCAATCATCCTACCATCTGAGTAATTAGTGTCAAATCCATAACCAATTTAAAAAAGAAAAGTCATGTTATTAATATACAGTCCATAATACAGAATTTAACTAGCTTGCATGTACTGAAGAAATTGTACAGGAAGTGAAATGTTTGTAATTTATTTTTTATCTGAATATTCATTATGATGACAGTTCAATGTATCAAGAAAATGAAGTGTCCATTTTACAGTCAAATGAATGAGGTATGAATGTTAATGAAGGGAATTAATAAAGCACAGCATGCAATAATTCTGACAACACTATTAACCAACCCTCCACCTCGTTAGATTTAAAATATTCTAAGACAGCAAAATAACTTACATAATCATTCCATACCTGAAAGAAAACGGAAAAAAATATTTTACTTCATTTAATATTCAAGTGATAAATAAAAACCTATACAATTGTCAAACCACATTTTAAGTGTAACCTATAAATAGTAATATGTGTTACCTCAATAACCCTGTTTTTTGGGGGACGACCTCTCTTTCTTCGGAACATTCCATCAATAGAGGTAGCAAGATGGGTCATGGTGAGTGGATCCTTTGTTAGGCTCAATTTACGTGAATACTCATGCATTTTGTAGTGATCCAAGCGCCTGAACGGTTTGTCAGAGGGAAGGATCACTTCTCGGCAGTTATCCTGGAACAGTAACACGAAAATATTTAAGAAGACTTGAATTCATGGTTATAAAATACAAAAATTTCCATACTCAATAAATTATAACCAGGCCATGGATTATGTTACAAAACTCACAACATTCCAAAATCTGTGACACAGCACATATGAAAGAGGAATAATTACAATTTGTAAAAATGTTAGTAATGATGAAACATCATTACTCTCTTTAAGGCAAAACTCTTGCAATCCACAGGACTCACTCAAATCAACCATCTCTTTCTTATCCTTTAGAATAAGTGAGGATAATCAGCCTTGGACTTCTATCAGGACACACTTATTGCCTCTGTTAGCTAATTTCATGTTGACTTTTGAATATATACATCTTCAGAAAACCATAAAAATAAATTGTTAACTGAGTTTGGAAAATTCAACACTCTGATACACAAAACACCAATCTAAACTACCTTTCATGACACCACCCAAATGTTCGGTTGAAGATGATGGCGAAATGTAGGATGCTGTTGTAAACACTAGCTAGTCAGAATTGTACAAACCTGAGGAATGGTGATAATAGATGACTGTGGCAGAAAATTGGTGAAATGATGGTTGGAATTAAAAAAATTGTAACATACAACCTATAAGGTAAGCTTGGCACTGAACCTGGAAGACACCAGTGCAAAACTTGGAACTGCCTACTTGTCCTACAGTACAGCTACATATCAGACTGCTCAGTTTTATTTAGTGAAGTGTCAAGAAACTCACCCATGTGCAATGATAGTGCTTTTCTTTGCGCTGGTACGGACAATCCTCCTCACACTGGCTGTTAGGTCCTTCTTGTCCTGACTCTACTGTGATATAGAAGATTTCACTCACTTGCTCCTGTTGCTCATGATTGCGGGCATGTTCTCTAACGCCATCCATAGACCTGAAACACAGACCAACCAGTGTCACTGTAATGCTAATACACAGTGGAACCTCGCTTACCGAGCATAATTCGTTCCAGAATCTTACTCGTAATGTGAAACAATCATTATGCAAAACAATTTTTCCCATATAAATTAATGTAAAATATGATAATGCGTTCCATGCCGAAAAAAAATACTCAAAAAATTTTATGGATAACGTTTATTCAAAGAAAATTATATATACATTGTTTAGGAGCGTGAATCATCTTCATCTTTTCATCTATGCGGAATGAACCAATCTGGAATGAGAATTCGATTTGCAGAAAACAAAAATAAAATCGAAATAATTAGTATATTATTTATGATACATATCTAATTCTTTTTTACTATAAAGCTGCCTAGAGATATTTGTTTTTGCCGACGCTTCAAAATTTGCTGAAAATGCAACACAGCATTATCATTAAATAAATTTGTAGCGCGCATAGCCACTGCCTTATTAGGGTGATGCTTCTCAATGTATGATGCAACAGTTTCCCATGCTTTCAGCATTTCTCTTATTGTGTCAGAAGATTGTTGCTTTGCTGTTCCCTCCTCCTCCTCCTCTGACAAACTCTCCTCCACAAACATTTGCTGTGAAACACAATGCAGCTCCAAATCATGCAAATCGTTGATGTAGACCGATTGTACATGTGTGCTAGATCAGCCATGCTCACACCTTGTTCTCGCTTTTCAATNGGTATTTCGTGGTTTTCCTCAGTCCCTCCAGAAAAATACTGGTTGAGAACATCAAATTGGGGCACGAACGCTTCTTTTCACTTCCTTTCAAATTAATCTTTCACTAGTGATTCTATCAATTGATACTACAAAATNTTATGTTTCATTTCCATGGTTTTTTTATTCCCTTATGGCTGTCTTTTTGTGGCTTTTTCTTCGGGGACATTTTTGCAAGGGTCATTAAACTTTGCACACAAAAAAATCACAAATAATACGTCTGAACACAAGTTTGGAAAAATGTGTGATCACAAGCGACACTAAGATGCTAGCGGAACAAGTGCTAAACACAGACTGATGTAGCAAGCGCACAATCCGGGACTTCCCCTCTCATCACTCGTTATGCGAAACGTCGCTCATTAAGCGAGCCATTTTTTTACAATTTGTTTTGCTCGTTATGTGAATTACTCGTTATGAGAGGTGCTCGTTAAGCGAGGTTCCACTGTATATGAATATATAAAATATATCGAGGTTGAGTAGTGTGCCCTCCTGTTTCACATTCGGGAGACCTCTGATTCAAATCAGCCCAAAGACTGGCTATTCTGACAAATATTTCGTGGTTTTCCTCAGTCCCTCCAGGAAAATACTGGTTGAGAACATCAAATTGGGGCATGAACGCTTCTTTTCACTTACTTCCAAATTAATCTTTCACTAGTGATTCTATCAATTGATACTACAAAATCACAGCTATTGAAATCATTCTTAAGTAAACCATAAATATATGAAATAACTGTAATATCATTGTCTCACGATATAACGAGAAACAAAAAGCAAAAATCTAATTCAAAGACTGTGCTTGTTAACTTATGGGGCAAAATGGTGCTTTTGTGTATTCTTTGTATAAAATGAATGATGGGAAAGCCTGTCCGTCCGCATGTTTTTTGTCTTATAAACTACTAAAAAGATTTCAATGGAATTTGGTATTGGGTGTTCACATTAAAAGATGCAAGAAAGAATTCAGTTTTGGGCATATCAGTCAGTTATAACCACAATTTCACATGAATCCCAAACAGCACTTATTACGAAGAAAGCAGTCTTTTGGGATGTGGCGCCGTGTAGATGGAACAGAGTGAATGCGAAATTTTGTATTAAACTGCTGTAATTGCCAAGTGAAAGGTCAGAGGTGTTAAATAAAAACTGTTATAGTGAAACACCTGGCCAGAGAAGCCACGGATGTAAAAGTCGAAGATCAAAATAATGTAAGTAAGGCGTTCTTTAAATAATACTTTACTTACCTGAAAATCATCTCACAGCCTTCAGCCAAACAGTGATAATGCTCCTTGAACAACATCTCACACTGTCCACCCCCAGCACACTTATCTGTTGGACCAAACCTTGCCAAGTATTTTTGCCAGAAATCTTCACTGGCCCAGGGAGGAACAGAGTTTGATGCTGCAGAAACCGATGACAGTTCACTAGTAAGGTCCACAGCTGACATAGACTGCTCAAGTGAAGATGGTTGCACCACATACGGTGTAGAAGGGTTTGAGTCAGATAGACCTTCAATACCTGCCAATCATAAAAAAGACTACAACTTCAGAAAATATCTCTACTTTTGTACATTATCCATCTATGAATACAAAATGTTTGTAAGAGTGAGGATTATTATTGCCATTATGCAACTTCTGGTTACTACTGTAATGAACTGTAAGACATTATTAATATGTTGCATGAATGCAAGTTTTCTAGTAGGTCAATAACAAGCAAGCAGACCTTTTTTACGGAGTATCGTGTCAATTCTGTTAAGTAATAATAATAGTATGACAAACAAACAAAAACAAATAAACTCCGTGATTTTAGTCCACAAACGAACTATACTGACCAAGCCACCACCACTTGTCGGCAAAGTTTAGTGCCATTTTTTGCAGATAGAGGGTGTCGCGTCGTCAGCGCAACAGATCCCCATGGCCGTTAATTTCGGTTTTCTAGACCGGAGCCGCTACTTCCTTGAAATAGTTCCTCAATTATCATCACGAGGCTGAGTTGAACCCATTCCAGACCCAATACCTCCCAGAAAAAAAATCTTGTAGCGCCGGGAATCAAACCTGGTCCTCTGGATCTGTAGCCAGGAACACTGACGACTAGACCACAGAGGCGGTCATATGATAGTATGACATGACGGCTGAAAGCTGGAATAGTGCAATGAATAGAGGCGGCCACTAATAGAAAACGGCACAGTAAACATGTTTCTGCGGCAACAGATACTGACACAACAAATCATGCGGTGTTCAAGGCAGTCTGTGCCGAGGTTATACATATAAGGTGGACCATCTGGACAACCTAAGTATGGAAAGAGAAGTCTCGAATCTGAGACAGTATCAATGGTCGAAAGCCCCAAGGGATCCGGACCAGGGAATGACTGTGCTGGTGAGGACTAGCAGCAATTGTAATGATAGACCTGTATTTTCATCAGAGAGAGCACCCCACATCAACAAATCCGCAATTGACAGTAATAAAAATCTGGTTGTAAGCCACTGATGGGTGCTTTATTCCAAGAGAGACTGGCCGACTGATCGTCGGTCTAACATAAGACTCGACTCGGCCAGTTCATGCCCATGCGGCAATCAATATGACCATAAAAAGTGGACACAACGTTGGAGGAGGTGTTTTATATTCGGTCCGCCTCGAATTTATGCATCAAGACATGGCAGACTGGTCCTCCAGGGTGTGGATGCGGGTTCGAATTACCTCCACCATAGCCCTGCGAGTCGTAAAAGGCGACGGAAAGGGAACCCAGTGCCTGAGGGTATAACTGAGCTGCCCTCTTCTTGGGGGATATAAATAAGGGGACTTGGCCTCCAGGTTGGGGAAGTCTCGAATCTGAGACTGTAAATGTGGTCATGAGTCCTGTGGGACTCCGACCTGAGAATTACTGTGATCACGATGGACAGCAGCAACTGTAAACAACAGACCCATCATCTAGTGAGAGAGGATGATTCATAAGGACTATAACTGCAAGTGTTCAGTTGCAAAATAAAATTACTGGTTGAGAGTCTCAAGGGGCTTGTCGCCAAGACCAACTGATTGGCAGTAAACCGCTAGTCATAAAGTGACTCTGACTCTGACAGCTGGGCATCATAGTCAGCAATTTAGAGTCCTGAGTTTCAGTGTTGGCAGCCGTTACCTAGCAGTGGCTAGTCATGATAGACTAACAAACAGCAGACTTTATACATGCTGTAGTCATAGTGATCTACAGAGCATAAATCAGTCAGACTGTTATAATTACTTGCAGTTACAAGTTATGGGCATTCAATAAATACAACTATCAATCCAAACTCCATGTCCAGTCACTAACATTTGACAGTAATTTGATATGAATACGTGAAGTGAGGTATATTATATAATATAACAGACAGATTATGAAAGACCATTTGTGCCTATTATTCAGCCTTGAAGCATCATTTGACAACAAGCAGAACTCAAACTGAATATGGGTGACAGCAGAGGCTTTCCACAGAATTCTCAATAGGACCTACACCGGCTCAATTTACACAATTACTGCACGGTTATTATTTGACATTTAAAAAACATAAGCAAATGAAAATGACACTTTGACAAGTTAATGTTGTCTCCAACAGCCAAGACAGCATACACTATAACTGAATCACTGCAACAGACAATCCTTTCATGAACAGACGCTATAAACTGCCACACAACCTGCAGGCAACACAGTACATGCTTTGGGGCTTCAATATAGATTTTTTACATATACTGAACACAGGAGACAGTTTTCCAATCAAAAATATATTTTCTTTAATCCATGCCTGACCCATATATTTAAACTGTATCCAGCCTACATGATTTCAAGCACTCTTCAGTAAGTTGTTGTTTCCAGTGTTAGTACTTACAAGCATTTGTGTTTCCTCCTAGTTTCTTAATAAGAACTTCTTGAGAGGTAGTGCTTTCTATCCAGAGGTATTTATATTGTCAACTCCTCGGTGCCAGTGACTTTTATAAATACTGTTACTCTTTGTAAGAAAATACAGGGTTATTCAAAAAGAATGAACTGATTTCATGACGCATTGCTTCAGTTCTCAAGCATCGTCATGGAATGAGTCAGTGACCATTTGAAAGAGGAGTTATCTAAGTTGTGAATGGCTGCCACAGGGGCGCTGAAGTCGCGTCGTTCTTCCGGCAACGTTCAGTTGTTCGTTTACCCTCGGAATGGCGAGTCCTCAGCAAAAGGCGTTCTGCGTTCTCGAGTTCGCGAAAACAAAGTCAGTTGTCACGGTGCAGCGTGCTTTCCGAAGGCGATTCGGCATTAATCCGCCCTGTCCTAAGAACATTCGACGGTGGTTTCGACAGTTTCAAGATGGTGGATGTCTGTGTAAAGGAAAAAGTCCAGGACGACCACGAGTCTCGGAGGAACAAGTGGCGAGAATCCGTGCTGCGTTTGAGAGGAGCCCGCGGAAGTCAACAAATCGAGCTAGCCATGAGCCTGCAATCCCTCAATCCACTGTCTGGCATGCGCTAACAGTATGTCTACATTTGAAACCATACAGACTGCAGCTCGTTNTGGTGGATGTCTGTGTAAAGGAAAAAGTCCAGGACAACCACGAGTCTCGGAGGAACAAGTGGCGAGAATCCGTGCTGCGTTTGAGAGGAGCCCGCGGAAGTCAACAAATCGAGCTAGCCGTGAGCTTGCGATCCCTCAATCCACTGTCTGGCGTGTGCTAACAGTACGTCTACATTTGAAACCATACAGACTGCAGCTCGTTCAGGCACTTACCAATGACGACAAAAGGAAGCGGGTGGAATTTTGCGATTCGATGCTGGAGATGATGGAAGACAAAACCTTCATTTCACGTTTAATTTTTAGTGATGAAGCAGCTTTTCACTTGAGCGGCACAGTCAATCGTCACAATGTGCGTATTTGGGGAACAGAGCATCCACATGAAACATTTGAGCATGAAAGAGGTTCCCCTAAGGTGAAGGTCTGCTGTGCTGTGTCTCAGAACAAGGTTTATGGTCCCTTTTTCTTTGAAGGAAACACCGTTACAGGACAAACCTATCTCGATATGCTCCAAAACTGGCTCTTCACTTCATTGCAAGCAGATTCACATGACTTCATTTTTCAACAAGATGGAGCACCACCACATTGGCACCTGATGGTCCAAGCTTTTTTAAATGAAAAAGTGCCTCAGCGATGGATTGGTCGGAAGGGGGCCAAAGACCTTGCTCTTTGTGCTCGGCCTGCGAGATCCCCAGACCTCACCCTGTGTGATTTCTTCTTGTTGGGATATGTAAAAGATCATGTTTATGTTCCACCGCTACCCACTAACCTCGATGACCTTAAACATCGAATAAGAACAGCGATTAACTCAGAGTATCGTGATATGCTGATACGCGCCTGGGAGGAATTCTCTTATCGCATTGATGTTGCCCATGCTGCAGGTGGTGGCCACATTGAACACTTGTAAGACAGGAAATAAAAGTTGACTGTGAGTAGAATACTTGTGACTTGGCTGGAGTTTTGTATTACTTTCCTTTAATAAAATATTGCGTAATAAAATTGGTTCATTTTTCTTAATAACCCTGTACATATATTTATACACAAAAAGCACACATTGTTGTCAGGTCTATTTTCAAAATAAGACACCATTGATGTTATGTTCATTCAGTACTTTGACATTTCGCTGCTCCCATAACAGTAGCTATACTATCCTACAAATCATGGCTACTTGTACCTGAAAGAGTATGGCCAAATTTTGCTGAAAAGGATGGTGGAGGAATGCTAACAGTTGGAGACTGTCTGCCACCACCATCACCTGATGCCTCACCATTGCTATGAGGTTGACTGCTTTCCTGTACTGAACTTGCTGCACCAGCATTCAATGAGCTTGGCCCCTGCTGGATTACTGACGCTGGCATCGATGAGCTCAGTGAACCATCAGACTGCTGACTCAACTGAAATGCAACAATATTAAATAATGCATCAAACAAAGAAAAGCGAAAATTACAAATGAACTAACACATGATGTGGAGAGAAAGAAGGGATGGAGGGGGAAAGGGAAACAGAGCAAGCAAGAGAGAATACAGAGTACTGAAAATGTGTATTGCTCTATAATGTACAATTATTTCATATGTAGCTAGTAGCATTACATAGAAACAGGTCTCTATCGGCCAAATATTAGACAGGAGGAGGAGGACGAAAATAATGACAATTTTTTTGATTTCTAGTATGAAATTTTTTACAAACATACAAGTATGTTATAAATTATGTATGAAATAATGTTGACAATTACATATATTGCGATAATGTGAAACACTGAGGTTACATAAAATTTAATATATACAAAATCTGCCCTTAAGAAAAGGTTCTTCTCCAAATGATAACAACATTCTGTAATTATTTAACATTTTGACCATCTACATATGAACCTAGTACACTAAACTATAAGGTAAATTACATGTTATTCTTGAATTATAAATTTACATTACACATACAGTTAATATCATAAGATTTGTAAGACTGAAACTATGCCAATTAACAAATGGACTTTATTAGTTCCCACCGTAACGCCTTCAATCTACTGCGGAGTTCTTAAGTTCCAAATAGCAACTATAATAAGGGTACAGAAAGAAGTCTCTTGGATAAGAAGGATGAATACACATGAGGCTTCCCTATTTATGCCCACTGTTGTATTCCCCTCCAGTATCCTCTGGCCTAAGTCAACCAGTTCAAATTAATTGCCACTAGCAAATATTATCATTCCTGCAGACAGAATGGCTAGACAACTGGAGAGCAATATAGGAAAATACACTGGAAGAAGCAGAACAGCCTGAAAGATATGTGGAAAGGGTTGGTCCATGGGGTTTCTTTCTGTGGCATCAGTACAGTTTCATTTCATTCTTACAGTCAAGAACTTTAGGGATCTTGTTACCACAGATTCAGTAGCACACATGATATGCAATATGCTTATATATATATACTATATTTATGGGCCCACACTATAATTGTATCAAATGAATACATATGAATGTGACTATATAGAGAGTGTAAATAAAGTCTGAGAACAAATTAAATGATTTATTGCACAAGAACTACAAATTATACAGATATAATATACGTGTCATTTTGAAGCGAAACTGAAAGTCTGTTTCTACCTCATAAACTTTCGATGTGGGAACGATGAGTGACTCAGCAGACGTCCACACGGTAATCGAATTCTTGCCATACCCTTCCCAACATCGCCTTGTCAACTGTGGCAGTCGCTTCCCACATCACGTGGAAAAGGCGGTACATACACCAGATCTTTAATGTGTCCCCATAGAAAAAAATGACATGGAGTGATATCTGCCGATCGTGGAGGCCATTTTACGAAACATCTATCCCCTTCTGCAGCACGTCCGATCCATCACTTGGGCAGCTCCGTGTTCAGGTATTCACGAACTTCACCATGAAGTTGGGGTGAAGCTTCATAGTCAACTTCTTGCACAGAACTTTCCACCCTGTCATTGGGAGCATTTGGAGTTCACGGGATGCTCAACACACTGATTTCTTTGGACTCCTCGTGAATATCTCTTACATGCTCCCCATCCTCTTCACTCACACCGGGACGTCCACTCTTCTTTTCTGGGCAAAAGCAACCTGTAGCCACAAATTTCTTGTGCCAGTGGTAAACAGCTCTTCCTGGTTGGTGGGTTCTTACCATACCTGGTCCTAAACTTTCATTGCACATGTGTAGCACACTTGTTTTTGTCGAATTCTAACACACAGAAAGCCTTCTCGGCACCTGAAGTTACCATGTTTGCAACTAACGCAGACTATCGACAAATGACGGAATTACGCGCATTGGCGGAACATACAAACTTTCAGAGTTTCTCTTCAAAGTGACATGTATAATTTGTAGTTCTTGTGCAATAAATAATTTAAAGTGTTCCCGGACTTTATGTACATCCTGTACATAACTTATCTTCTCACCTGGTCATTGAATGCTTGAAGCATATTTGGACTAAGTTGTGGTGGCTGGGAATTGTCACTACTCCCAGCAAAAGTCTTCATCATGCTCTGGGCAAGTTTGAATTTCCGATAGGCCATTTCAGAGTCTTGTCGCTCATGTTTGCGCTTGTGGCTGAAGAGCTGTCCACTGGAATGCAGCACATAGTTGCATCCTGTACGGATGCAATGTATATGGTTGCAAACACGGGAAAAGCGACAACTGTCAAAAGGGCACATCTCATGCTTCATGAACTTCTTGAAGCCATCTCGACTTAGCTGCTCATCCTTGATGTGATATGTCTTGTGTTTTTCTAAAAGCAAAAAGAACCTTAAATTTTCTTATAAAACTTAAACTGAAAAATGTATCACTTAAATGAGATTACTTATGTTCAACAAAACAATTAAACTTCAACCATTCTCCAAACTGTACAGAGGGTTCAGTTGATTTTTAAGCCTTTGTCTTTACCGGGTTTAACATATAAATTGGAATAAAAAAAAACATGAAAAGCACAGAAACATAAAGGACAAGGTGTATAAGAAGGGTAGCAGGCTACTGACTTTCCAATCATAAATTCTATTAAATATTTTCCACATTAAATTGTGATCCTGCTATTTAAAGTATTCAAAGTTAAAGAATATACTTAAAATTAAAATATTATGGCTAGGACGACAAATATGCATAAGGCAACCTAGGGAAAGATGGCAGAAGACCATTATCACATCTAAACAACAACAAAAAAAAGTAAATATAATTCTGCATTAATATTGTCACAATTCTGAGTGATTATAGATTAGTTTTGGATTGAAGATTGGATTTATTGACCACTTCAACACATGACTCCTGACTACACTTAATTACAGCGTCATCGCTGGTCTCCATACTTTACAAACCATTACATCACATGTGAATTCTTTTCAGTCTGCTGTGTCTTCAAGCAGTCATTCCCTTGTAACGCCTTCTAACAAGTCATACTACAAGTGGAGATGACATAATTCTGCAAGAGGACCAAAAAGTTGCTGCAACAGAATATGGGGAAGGAATATCTCATGCTACCGACCAAGGGGCCCTGATGGAAGAACGAGATGGTACAGCGATCATTACTGCTCACGGGGAGGCTACAGATGTCCAAGGAAACGAAGCAGTGAAAAATTCAGCAGNCCAATCCTTTCCATGGGAACACATTTGTTTGTGAAACCGTTACTCATTAACGTTACATATTTGCTTAGTGGCCTCCATAGTCTAGAAGTAACGCTCCCACCTCATGACTCA